TGCCATGTGGTAGAGCATAGATAAAAACACGGGTTAATTTAACTAGTAAGAGCTAGTCAGAAATCAGCCTAAGCTATTGAATGAGAATTTATAATTAATAAGTCTCTATGTGGTTATTTCAGAGCTGGCTTAGGTCAAAACTCTGCCTACCAAATCCCATTGCTGAGGACACCATGCACTTCAGAAACAGGAACCAGAGATCACTGAGCCAGAACCTTTCTGAATATCTTCTCCTTCAGTACTAGCTTTCATGATACTAGAAGTTACCATGCAAGCTTCCAAAGGAGGGAAGCAACCAATAGTCCTACCCAGCTATATTGCCTGTGAGTTACACCAATGACCAGCAGGGCACAATAACACTATGGATGCCGAAGTAGTACACATACATTGGCAGTAACTAACAGCTCTCTAATTGGATGTAAGACCTGTTCAAAAGGAGGGAGACATGCTTGGTACTGGAAACTTAGCTAGTCATTCAGTTCTTTTATATTTTTGGTTGTGAGCCTAGCCTTTAATGGTTGAGCCATCCCTCCAGCCAGTTCTCATAAAGTCATAGTTATTAGAGAAAAATATGAAACATTAATTTACTAAACCAGCATAATCCCTAATAACAATCTTTAAATATTTGTCATTATATACACAGATAAGTGTAGTCTTCCCCCTTTAAAAAGGAAATTTCTCTTTGCAAGAGCTGGAGACAACTACAGAAAACAACAACCAATCCAAGCACAGAGTCATGGAGCCTGGACCCAACGGATATATCTAATATATGTGTATATATATATATATATATATATATACACATACATACACACACATATATGTATATATATATTAGACTGAAAACTCAAAGACCACTGAGGAAGAGGGGGCAGAAAGACTGTGGGAGTCAGAGGATAGGGGAGTTTGCTGAGAGGTTGTGTCTCCTAGCAATATCAGAAGCTACATCCATAATATAACTGTCAAAGCATGAGCTGAACAAGCTGACACCAACGCACAGTCAAACTGGCTAGAGAAGAGCTTCACAAGCAATGGAGGAGAGCTGGGAACCAGAGAGGTGGTAAAAAGTCACTGCAGGGAAGCACACACCACTGGCTGTCCAGTGCCAAATGGTCACCCCCGAAAACACACATACAGGTATGTATATAGCATACACTATATGGGTTAAATAAGTTATATTTAGGAATACTTGTTAAAGGAAGGGGGCATGATTAAGCTACCTGGCCTAGAAATTTCAGGGATGGCAAAATGTCCTAGATTTGTTGGGTAAGCCTAGTGTAATCGCGGGATCCTTTCAGAAGGAAGGATCCATGGAATCAGAGACTCGGGCTCTGAAGATGTGGAAGGGGCCTGGAGTCAAGGAGTGCAGGTGGGCCACTGCGGCAAAGAACCACTAGAGAGAACAAAGCCCAGTTGATACCTTGATGTGGGAACTTGTTTTGTTTTTTCAAGACAGGGTTTCTTTGTGTATCCTAGAACTCACTCTGTACACCAGGCTGGCCTCGTACTCACAGAGATCTACCTGCCTCTGCCTCCCAAGTACTGGGATTAAAAGGGTGCACCACCACCACCTAGCTGATGTTAGGACTTTTAAGTGCTGGAACTCTGAATCAATCTTTACTCTTTAATTTTAAGTTACATGTATTTTAACATAAGTGAATGAAGCAATAACTAAGCTTCCTTGGGAAAGTGTGGACAGCAGGACAGATAAAGGTTGGCCTACTAAAGGGGTCGGGTTTGTTCTTTCCTAACAGCAGTGGAGGAGGAAGTGTGAAGAAAGGCCACAGTGCAGACACTGTGTGAAATGAAGTCATGACTCAGCAAGAGCTCCTCTGGTCTCCGTGAATTATGCAGCCAGGTCAACAGCAGGGCAGGACTTGACCAGAGGTTATCAGGCTTCATTTCAATGCAGCTTTTGCATTGTTCTATGATTCCCTAAATTTGCAGCAAGAATTATTAGAGACGCCACAGATAAACTGCTGTGCTTAAACAGATGTAAAGAAACTTGCACACCATTCATGGGTTGGCCCTGTCCCTCCTTTTATTTCCTACAGTCAACGGACAATATGCTATTAGCTCAACTAGGACTCAGCCCCAGGAGCCTGCTCAACACAACAAGCCAGAGCAACAGACACAATCCCACCTGGCCAAGGAGCAGATGTGGGAGTGCTGTCGGAGGAACTCAGCTCCCTGTTATCTCCTCCTCCCAGGGGTGACTGCCACCGACATACCCAGAAGCAGAGAGACGGCAGCAGCTGCTAATGTCTCCCCAGAAGAGAATGGTTAAGGAAATCATACCACATGCACAGAACAGATTGAGCTGCAGCTGCAACGCTGAAAAGGAGTCCCAAGACAAACTGCTAAGTGAAAAACTCATTCAGAATAATCAAATATGTACTTAAAGTCATGGGGGTTTTTTTTGAGCCCTAATGTATATAAGTCTATATACTTGCGAATGCTTGGAAGAAGGCCTGGAGGGGGGCTATCAAGCCATTACTAACCCCTGAAGAAGGGGCTGGAGAGATGGTTCAGAAGCCAAGAGCACTTAGTACTATTCCAGAGCACTCAAGTTTGGTTCCCAGCACCCATGTTAGGCAGCTCACAACTCTCTGTAATCCAGTTCAGGGACTCCAACACCTCTGATCTCCAAGGCCACCATACACGTGAACACACACACACACACACACACACACACACACACACACACACAGAGAGAGAGTCATATGTGCCTACAACAATTTACACTGAAAATAAATCTTTAAAAAACTAACCTCTGAGCTGGGGGATGGTGGCACACACCTTTAATCCCAGCACTTGGGAGGCAGAGGCAGAGGCAGGAGGATCTCTGTGTGTACGAAGCTAACATGGTCTAAAAGAGCTAGTTCATGGACAGGCACCAAAACTACACAGAGAAACCCTGTCTTGAAAAAAAAAAACAAAAAACACAAACCTTAAGCTCTTAGGAAAAACCCATGTGTATTTCAGTGTGTCTTTTCTATTGCTATGATAAACACCATGGACAAGGCAACTTAAGGAAGAGAGACTATTTGGGCTAATGGTGTGGAGACATGACAGCAGGCAGCCAGGACCAGAAGCTGGAACATCAGATCTCTAACATCAACCATGAAGCAAAGAGAGTAAACTAGAAGTCAAGGTTCACCCCACGGGCATGCTTCCTCCAGCAAGATCACACACCTTCGAAAAATTCTACAGCATCCTAAAACAGTATGCCTCTGGGGGGGCATTTCTCATTTAAATCATCATACAAGGATCCCTCTACTGATTTTCCTTTAGGAAGTCGCTCATAGAGTCCACAAGTTAATACCAATGGACAGAGCACAGAATTGAGGTACGAGAAGTATAAGCCACCTGCAGTGTTAATTACACCACCTTCTTACCTCCCACAAGAGTGAAACCTTCACTCAAGTCCAGTCTGCACTCAAACCCGACACTCTCTTCCCTTCCCAGCACGAGCCGCTCCTTTTACACACCCCACATTAACCTGACAGTCCCCGCCACTGTTTTTGATTATCTCACGTCTGACTGTGCAAATATGTTCCTCTAATTCAACTCCCTTGTATTTCTAACACAGTTTGATTCTGTCTTATGAAGTGAATACTCCTCCAAGTCTCCAACCCTGCAGTACTGTCTTCCGTCCCTGTGCCAGCCCCACAGCCTCAGCTTCCTTGGCTTAACCTCCTGTTCTCATTCCCGCCCTCTCTCTCACCACACTTCCTCTCTTCCATTTCCTTCCATAAAATAATGTCTTAGTCTCATGGTCTCTAAATACCTTTCTCTCCCATTCATATTCATCTCAGATCTTCTAATGTCAACTTTCAAGCTCAGAAGTCAGTTAAGTTCGATGGCACATGCCTGTGATCCCAGCTCTGGGAGACTGAGGCAGGATCATGAGCTCAAGGCCAGCCTGGCCTACAGAGTGAGACAGTACCCCACACATACACAGAATCCACTGTTTAGTCACCCCTCCTCTTCCACAGTGTCCCCGGCTCTCCCACGTTCATCCCTCTCTGTCCATGTCTCTTGGGATTGGAGGCTCTGGAGTCCACACTCATAAGGGATATGTATGTGCTCTGCTGTCCTTGTACATAATTTCTGGGGCAAAGTTAAGGACTTCCTTTTTTCTGTTTCAGTTACACTCTGGCCTCCAGCATACTGAACGCTAAAGGTCTTCTGGAAGACAGAACCCACTGTCTCTTTCTGTTTCCTTAGAGTAACTGACAAGAGCTATCACCAGAGGTCACTGAAAAAGGAGCAAATAAAATGTGTGCAGTTTTGAAGATATTCTAATTCTAGCATATTGTACATTTTCAAAATAAAGTCAACTCCATTTTGATTTATTTGAAGTAGCAACTCTCTTTAGATAAAAAAAAATACTTATTTGAAAGGGCACACATGTCATAGTATATCGTGTGGCCAGTGAAAACTTCTGAGAGCTGGTTCTTGCTTGGCTGCAAGTACCCTTCTACAAGGGAAAGCTACCTCACCCACTCAGTGTTGAATTTTTGTCACCAATCTTCCAATTCTTGTCATAACACACACACACACACACACACACACACACACACACACACACACACACTAGCTAGGCTGTAAACATGAAGACGTGAGTTTGGAAGCCCAGAACACAAGTAAAGACAGAAGCAGTAGTGAACATACTAGCTAGTGCTCCTACGGCCAGACAGGAGCAGAGGCGGGGGTGTGGCTGGGGAGAGGCGTCCCCTGGGAACTGCTGGGCAGGTGCAGTGCTGAACAGCAGCCCTGTCTTAAACCAGGTGGGAGACAAGAACTAATACCAAGGCTGTCTTCTGATGATAAGCACACACACAGTGGTGCACATGTGCCTGCACTCAAATGAACACCTGTGTATGCACATGCACACACGTGTGCGCACACATACACACTACACAGAAGTTAAAGGAGCTACACTGATAAACCACTTTAATTTATTCCGGGAAATTCCAGGTGACAGTCGCTCTTACACAGACTCTTGGGTGGTGGACTCCACACTTCCAACAACGCAGGTAAGGTGAAGCAGGAGTTACCTGACAGCGCATCATAGAACTCGTCCTCACTAAGGATGCTGACAGGCGGGGATCCTTCAGCCAGGGATCGCTCTAGTTCATGATGCTCGGTGGCTAAAGTCTCCAGTGCTTCTGACAAAATTTTGTTTTTTTCTTGTTCCTGTTCCAATTTAAAATTCCTCACCTAGAAGAATATAGATACACAAGAGTTCAGAGTGACAGGAAATACAGAGGATGTGAAAATTACTTGCTTTCGGTCGAATTTGGCTGCAATATCAGAAGCAAAAGCAGCTGAGTGATACACACACAGATGAAAGAGCAAAATTACTAGACAATCTTATTCTTCCCAGGGGGCCTTTCTCACAACAGCTTAGCTAATGAAAATAGACTGCGAACTACCAAACAGATTCAGCTCAGACTCTGAGGATGCTAGTAAAAGAAAAGCCATTAGTCAATTTGGAAATTGTATTTTAAAATAATGCATTTCTTCCTCAATACTAATCATAAAATTAAAACAATCATTCCAGCAAAGTTTGGTTTCACATCATCTTAAATGTTAAAATGTCCACAAAACTGGATGGAGTCTCCTAGTTTATTTCCCAAATAGTTGGAATATCAACTAAAGAGAAACAAAAATTTTACTACCTATTTTCAATTCCCTGTTTCTACTTCAATTCTACATTTTGCCTTTAATTTAGTAGACTAAATTAAAAAGAAGTTACAGGAAAGGTAAAGTTTAGTCAGCCACGTCAGCATTGATATTAGCTCTGCCCTTGTCTAACAACTCAGGACATCTGGCCCTCCAAACCTCACAAATCAGCAGGCACTGGGCTTGGTCCTGAGTTTTATCTAATTTGTCTTGCTTAGCACCTTATTCTGGAGCAGGGGTGCTGCCGCCAGTGGGTGCCATGTGTCCTCAGGAGTGCTTTCTGTAGTTTCCACCATTACCCCACAAGCCAAGCGGTGCTCAGCTCTCTAAACGTGTATTTTCAGAGTCTACTTCTCAGATGCAATCCCCAAACATAACATGCCCCTTTTAAAGCTAGTTGTGGTTTACATGTCTGCAATCCCAGGATTTGGGATGATGGGACGGGCATGAGAATGGAGAATTTAAAGCCAGTCTAGGATAGAGTGAGACAAGAAACCAACACCTCTGCCAATCAGCGTTTTGTACTGCAGACTCGAGCTTCTGGTGCTGCTGCGACAGGAGCCTGTTTCGACTTTCCCTCCCTCCCAAGCAGACCACAGAGGTAGGCCCAGACCCCGGGCCAAACATGCAGCTTAAAGGGCACAGATGAGGCAGCTGTCTCCCAGCTCTCTTTCAGGTCAGACCTCTAGATATGAGAGCTGGGACCGCTTTCACAAGGTCCCCTTTCACCTCCTGACATTTCTCCCATGCTCCTCTCTAAGCCTCCAAGGATGAAGCATTTCCCTCTGTTCTGACTCCAGGACCCTGTGTGGCCCTGAGGTCCTTATGGTTGCACATCAGGTCTAATGCTCTACTAAGAATAATTCTGGGAAAAACTCAAATATAGTTTGGCTTCAAGGCTCACTTCATTGGATAGAATTAAACCTTTATCATCTTGGGAACAGATCCAGTCCTCAGGCACTTCAGTGTTTATCATTAGAGCAATGAGAGTATAATTATTAGAGCTGTGATAATGAAATAAAAATAACAATATATACAAGTAATCTTAAAGAGACAAGATAATATACAAAAGCACAAAAACTTTAAGACACATAATTGTAGTTTGTAACGAACTCAAAAACACTTGAAATATTCTCATAATCAAAACAGTGTCTCCAGAGAAGTTTGAAAAGCTTATACTATGGCTGGAATGTACCTTTAAATATAATAGAAGAATAATTCTTTCCATTTAATAAATGCTTTCACTTGAATGCTAAATTTATATAAATTTTAGTCGAATGACAAAATTGATCAATGCCCTCAAACATCTAATCCTCTCTAGACAATCTTATTCAAACCACAAGTGAGCCTTTATTCACCGAAAATAAGCTTACTCCCTTCCTGCCACACCTACATCTGTCCTCACTTGTTAGTGAAGACAGTGAGTGGGGGTGGGGGAAGTGCTACTCTCCTTTGTGAACTTGTTCATCTGTCAGTTGATCTAAGAAAGCTCTTATGCCACTGAAGAAGCTTTACCACAAAACTACCTGCAAAAACATACTCTTCCCTAGGGTAAGGCAAGTGCATGACAAAGAAACCTCAGTAGCAGGAAAGCTTTCTCCCTGCAGGAAAGCACCTGAGAGAACACTTAATGGGCAGGCTGATACTGTCCAGTGGGACAGAGGGAAGTCCAGGCCTTCTACAGTCCTGGCAACTCCAGGTTAGCCCTGCACTGAAAAGTCAGAGTGCAGGTTTATAAAACCGTCACCTTTCTATAGGCTCTTCCTCAAGGGTTATTGGCTAGCCAAGACCCCATGCTGTAACAGAAACAGCACCTTCATAAAATTCCACCGTATGACTGATTCCAAGTGTGGATTTGCCAAGTTTATATGTCCTACCAACACGTGCATATGATTGCAAGACATTTTTTTTAAAGCATTCAAACATTCAAGCATTATAACTATCCTATCATTATTAAAGGAACACAGACTTCTCTTCACAGAATTAGTGGACCCCACCATGTGTTTACAATTATGTTAGAAAACTTTAGACTATGATCTGTAAACAAAAACCAATGTGTATCAAACGAACATACATTAGAGCTATTAGAAAACAGGACATTCCTACCATCTACCTAACAGGACGCATGTGCACTGCTCTGTCTGTAACCCTTGAAGATTAACACAATTTTGAGGAGTCTATCTCCTCAAACCACTTCCATTTTATTCCATTTCCTGCTAGAAGATGAACTCTTCGGGGAATGTTTCTCACATGAACAGATGCCATCTAGGCAATCCAGGTTTAAAAAAAGCATGTGCTAGCCAATCTATATACATTTTATCTTCTATTTCCTTCTAGAAAGTGCCCTGCTATTTACCTATGCTTCATATGGGGTGAGTGGGGCAGAGATAATAAATCATTTGACAAAGACATCTAATAACTGGAGACCACTGATTAGTATTCATGGAACACCAGGTACAATGACCTGATTGTAAGACTGGGAAATTCTGGCCACACTCTGGTCTCTCCTCAGTTATTGCAAGTACACCTACAATAAGAAAGAATGTATCAGAGATGGAAATACTCCATCATACCTAATTTTCTCTCAGAGAAGCAGCTGTTCTGACACACTACTGTGGTTACAGGACCGACAATACTCACATTTTTCCGGATATGAGATTCAGGTCACTCCCCATTACTGCTCTATGGAGGTAGCTGATGAGAAGCCGGGCTGATCACTCACAGCTGACGTGAGGTCTCCCACCATGGCTGACTACACTGTCTGGGTGAAGCAGCACTGCTGAGGTTTGACAGCCTCTGACTGCTTGCACTAGAAATGTAATACCCTAAACCAAATGTTAACAGTGAAGGGAAGTCTTTAGGTTGTAATTAGGACTAGATGAGACTTTTTCAGGGTGCAGGGCTTGATAGCATTAGTGACTATATAAAAGGAGACCCTAGCTGGCAAAGGGTCATGTGACACTACTATACAGGAACCAGAAGTAAGGTCAGACTCTTAATAAATGACATATACTTAAGACTTCCAACTCCAGAACTGTGGGCAAAATAAAGACTTCATAAATCACCCTGAGAGTGGTACTCAGTTATCACAACTGAAATACAGACTGAGATAAAGATGAAGTGCTCACACGAGTGTAAACTGGTCACTATCACCTCTCACTCTGTCCTCGAGTACTTTGGAGATACATCCTGATGACCGTACTCAGAACACAGCTGATCTGATTTGTTACTTATTAAGCATCTTTGTGTAGAATAAGTTTTAAGATGTCACTGGCTCTAGCATTTCTTTGCTATCTTGTACCATTTTTCAAATGAAATGAATGTATGCTCCTGCTTAAAAACAGGCTGGGGGGAGGTCAAGTAAAATGGAGAACAAAAACTGACCGGGCACTTGCACTGCAAGTGGTGAGGAGCGCTCCTTTCCTGGAAGGATTCTGAAGGAGGCACTCAACAATTTGCTGACAGACTGTGATGTCAGAGTAAGGAAGGAAGAAACATAGCTTCTGGTTTAGAGTTTAGCAAGTACCTGAAACAGGACAGACTGTGGGAAGATAGGCCAGCTGGAGCTCAGTCTCACCTCATAGCAAGGTACCATGAGACAGCCAAGTATAGGAGTAGATCAGCAGACATGAACTCAAATGCTTAAAGAAGGAGAGGGGTTGTGACACTCAAGTTATAATTTAAGTTATAAGATTAGATAAGATCACTGAGGCAGACAGGAGGACAGAAATGAAAGGAAGCCCAGCCTGTGTTTTGTAGCCATTAGTGAGGTGGGAAAGAGCAGAGGATTGCTAGTGATATTGAGACCTAATCCTTAAGTGCAGCTGTTCTTCACTGAGGGACTAGGCAGATCCTGCAAGAGAGAAAATGGCACGTGTATGCACAGATTCAGAGAACTGGGTACATGTAGCTTCAAGTTTTCTTCTAATTGCTTCTCTTGTCTTGCACTTGAACAGAAACAATAGGAAACAGCTGTGGAGATGAACCAACACTGGCCCCAGCAGATGACATAAAAGAATCCACTATCTCTTGATTCCATGAAGGAAGTATGCCTAGAGGTTCAAAAGAAGGCGGCTCCGGAATTTCATTCACACATGTTGCTCGTCAACTCAACAATGGCTTCCAACACCACTAAAGATGCTTTTCTCACAGCCACCATCACCTTCCTCAGTTTTGCTCCAAAGGAAAGAAAGGGAAATCCCATCAGAATAACTCTTCCTTCCCTCAGGCTCCAGCACTGCCAGGAAGACCCGACTGACTGACATGTTCAAAGAAAGACCTTTGTAGGTCCTGCTACGCAAATCACTTCTGAGGGTAACCTCGAACATTTCTGTCAAGGCAGATCTAGGGGAAAGTCTTTTACCCAGGAAATCAGATGCTGCGAAACAGCTGAAAGGTAGGGTTAAAGCCATTATTTCATAAAAAGTAAAATTACTTCTTTAACTTAAGAAAAAGATACCTGGCAAATACACTGGGGTGTAGGTGTAGCAGAGAGGTGATAATTAAATGTGGAGGAAAAAATCTCCACTAGGTAG